GAAAATTGGGGAAGTTGGTTTTGAGCAAACAACCATGAATTGATCGTTCAATCTTCAACTCCATTGACATACATCTTTCAGTCAATTCTCCTATATAACTGCGTTGTATACTGAATCGAATCTTATTCTTGATTTGTGGTCAGATTGTCTTTGAACTAAAATGAGTGATATATTTGTATGACTTTCTCAACACTGTCACCATGGGGTATCATCCGAAGTGAATTGTACTCCATGAGGATGAATATTGGCCAAAGCCAAGCAGATTGATTTTGCTTCACCGAGGTCAGCCATTATTGCCATTTTTAGGTGCATGGTGCTCTGTGAGAGTGAGTCGATTAAGATTTAGAAAACTGTTTGTAAACCAATCGCATCTTCAGTTTAAGTCATGGATACTGCTCGTACATAGTGCTACTCATCGTCCTCATATGGTGACACGGGAGTTTTTAAGGACGTTGAGTTATTACAAGTCAACAGATTGGAGGACGATGTGTATGTAAGTACGTGGCTTCAAGTCCTGTCTAACTTCGGTCTTACCGTAGGTCTGTGCAGCTTCCACCACAAGATAAAGAGAAGAGAAGAGGTAGGCAGAAATGCTCCAGAAAAATGGCTGTTATTGTTGGTGTGCATGTTTGGTTAGATAGATTTTTAGAGCCTTGCGGATAGAATCGTGTGTCCTCACTGTCTGAGAATGATTTTTACGTAGAGTTATTAAGACAGGCCGATAGATTCTACCTCGATGTGGTGGTCAGCGTTGCATTTCGCGATGACCCGACAAGCTACATTGATGGTTCTATCATGCCAGGAAGGTTGATAGGGCGGCGATCAGACTAAAAGCAGTTGCCGGCATAGTGTAGGTAAATCATGCTGCTGGGGGATGGGGAGGCAGCAGCAGTAAGTTTTTTCTTTCGGATGGCCAGTATACCAGTCAGCCATGCTGTCCCTCTACTCTGGAGGGAGGAGGTTAGGAAAGGCCTACCCCAAGAATTGCACATCCCAACTTACTCTACTGTAGTCCGCCCGTAGCCAGTGGTAAGTTACAAATATAGAACCAAACCAAAAAGCCGACTCATACAGGCCGTGTGTGACCGGCCGGCCTCAAACAGTTGTCGCCCGTTCTCTGTGGTCACGCAACACTAATTTTCTTTCTCTTTCGGGTACCCCAAGAAAAATCAACTTCCACAATGTGGGCAGCCGGAAAGTAGCAACCACCCACCCACCACCAGAAGCGCATGAAACCCCCCTGATCATCATTCTCCTTTATTCCTGTCGCCCTCATCATCTTGTCACCCCACCACTACCAGCACTACTCTGTGGAACAGCCATTCATCCTAATTTCATTGTGTGGTGTCAATTAGGAATGTCAGTCATGGATTCACCGATGATATTTGGTTGAATAGAACATAATGTCCCAAGATTTCTACTGAGTGACATGCCATATGTTTAGTTTGTTTTCAAATGCGACCTTATATGGGATATCGAAATCTGTAGATTTTTATAAGCATTTGAATTGTCTTTATGATTGGGTTTCTGATGGCGCCCACTGTTCTTCTACAACTCTAAGTTTAAACTATCGCATTTAAGCATCTCTATGTTTATCTGACAACAGAGTTTCTCGTGTGGAGGGAGATATATACGTCTGTTGATTCGTATTCCTTTTAAAAGCGTCACAGCACATGATCCGTCTTGGCCGCAAGAATGTGACAGTGGATCTGTCAGGAGTGCCACAACTGAGCATACACTCAGCACTGGCCACCTAATATGCAGAGAGAGTTGATTCAACGTCATCTGCAAAGCATCTGCACAAGAAGCCTGCATGTCAACTTGAGACCGAGCACTTCGTACCAATCAATAAATTGAATTAAATAATAAATATGACCCGTTGCACAAGAGTTGACTCTCGTTACCCAAATGATCTAGTCAGTAATGCTTTGGCTTTTGAAACTATGGGCACTGGGTTCAAGCCTCAGTGGAAACACCATCAGTCACTGCGAAATGCAGGCGCATCCAGCTGACGAGTCCTAACTAGGAAGAAATGCTCATCTTGGATTCCACTGCCGGTCACTATCCATCAGTTAACATCTGAAGTCAAAATAAGCCTAGATTAGGAGGTCTGCTTCTGTCAACTTTACATCACTGAGGCATTAGCAATCAGTACGGAAAACTGTGATTTATGTACACGGAACAAGCGTCTCCATCGTCTCTTACTACCTTGGGTAGAACTCTGAGTTCGGTGGCTTAGCGATTAGGACTCTGGCCGACCATGCACATGTTTCGGGGTTCGATGGCTGGCCGACGCACACCTGTACCAATGGTCGGTCTGCTAAATTTTGGCTACAGATATCATGTGCTGATAATTCGGTGCCTGTATCAAAAATACTGTGTGGAGTCAAGCTACAATAAAAATTAAAAAATTAAAATACTTTGTTATTGATACTTTTTTTGAATTTTTGAGCGACATTTCAGTAACGTCTTTTTCCCATTTGCCACACAATTTATTTTGAACACTTGTCTCCATACGCCTTCATTAATATCCTACTTTTCTAAATATCTTTTCATATAAAGTAATCCTAGTCAGGGCTTACTAATCTTCACCCCTTAGCCAAGTTTGATTATTTGCCTCATTTTCAGAAATATTTTGATGACTTTATTAATACAGCTAACTAATTTTTATACTTGTCTCACAAACCTGGTGTACACAGCCATAGAAGAGAGTTTCACAAATAAACCACCACACTCACCGTACTCAACGCAACCTTTATTAATTATGTGTCCCTGGTTAAATTCAGACAACACTAATGTTCAGGATTTTATCGTGTACATACTTTCTACATATGTGAATTAACTTTACGCAGGTTATTTCACCATCTTCTCCTATATCTGTCGTTATGTATTTGAATAACTGTGAATATGCTTGTACCAAGTATAAATGATTTGACATATTGACAATATCTGTAAACTGGCGCCCCCCATGTGCAGACAAGAGAGAATGCTGTTGCCATCATCACGAACGTAAATATGTTTAATCGATGGAAATGCAATATAGCAAAAAGTTGGTGGTAACTGGTGCTTGCAAGGTAAGAGCTGGCGCTTGTGACCTGGTGGATAGTACTTTAGCTTCCAAAGCGATGGACACTGGCTTCGTGCTTTCCGTTAGAACAACATCGCTCATTCAAAATGCAAATACATCTAACCAACTAGCCCCAGGTAGAACAAAATGCTCATCCTGGAGTTCACTGCTTGCTACCATCAGTCAAAATACGTGGTGAGACAATGAGCAATTTTCGGAAAAATCAAGAGTTTCCGAATTGATTAATCTTGGTGAAATTGCAGATGAGGTGGAAAAAATACCGAGACTGTCAGGACAACAACGACTTATGAATAGCTTAGACGGATGGGTCAAGGAAGGGGAGGCAGATTTACGAATATTTTATGGGCACACAGGTTGGGTATCTTCAGGTAGATTCTAATTGCTTCGGCCATATGTACAAGACGAACTCATAGGCATAAATTAAATATAGTCTAAATAAGGTGGACAACTTTAAGTAATCGCCAACTTCGATTTTCTGATCACCGTCTTTACGAGTGCTAAGGCGGTGAACTCACACACCCTTCATTACTTCCTTAATCTTGCGGTGTAATGTTCGAAAGCCTGAAAGTGAACACGATCAACTGTACTCTCAAACTTAATAGCTCCAAGTGGGCAGTAAAAGCGTGAGTATAGACAAGGTAGGTAGTTTACCGTTATTTCCCGGACGCGAAATTCGAATGGTTATAGAGAGTCACCTCCCATAATTTGCACTGAACGCCTAGTTTGAGAAATTAATTGAGAGTTATAACATTATTTTAACAATGTTGTTACCAAGAAACGGCAGACATAAGATGAGAGGATTTCATTTAGCTGTTCATATAGCAACTTAAAATTAAATTGTTATATATGTCGAGGAACAACTTAAAGGAATGGTGAAATGTAATAGATGCATTTTTACTACGTTTGCGTCTACGGAAAATGTAGTGTTGATTATAATGTGCACAAGCTATCTAATGAACCAGCTGCGCTTCTACAATTTAAACCCGAATATGTCCTCAAGGTAAACTAAGAATAACAAAACTAGCATCTGAGACACAATGATGATTTCGGTAGAAGACAAACGTGTCCTTAGCAGACAAGTGATCGACAAAAATAGGCAGTAGTACGCAACAGCGCTGTTGATAAACAGCTTTCTTTGGTTTACCAGACCAGTAAAACAGGTAAAGCCTGCACTAATTGCTGAAAATTTTTACGACCTAAAAGTGCTTTTCTAGTGTTTTTCAGTCAACATTGAGGGAATGCAGGATATGAAATACCCGACTGACTAAACATTCGCTTTATAGACCTATAAGAAATAATGCTTACATGCGAGAGTCCCAGCTGTAGCTGAATAATTCGCTCCGGCAGTGGTCTCAACACGTGACAAGAAGGAAATGTGAAAAAATAGTGGTCGCTTACCTAAAGCATATTAGTCAAGTCACAACTTAAACAGACACAGGTATCAAGAAACTTGTTGGATATTTGGTCATCCTGGTTGGTGTAGACTTATCCCCAATGAATGTATACCACACTTATTCCAAGGCGATAACTCCGTAAGGCTAAGTTCCACCAAACTAATAGAATCGCTTAAGACCAACAGTAGTATTCCTCAAAAATTTGTGGACATTTTGATGTAACACAATGAGCGACATTCACACTAGGAGGAGAATCGGTAAGAGCGTGTATTTGGTACAATGACGAAAATCAGAGAGCACGGGTCAAGCCCTCACTAACAAAACAGTCTAGTTGTCATCACTGAAATTGAGTCCTGATATATGTTATGCCGCTTGCTCCACGGAATAGACACCTGGGTATTTTCCTGAAACGGAAAAATGAAAAAATTGTTAAGAACTCTATCTATAACAGTTTTCATTTTGTCACAGTGAGAAGTCAGATTCAATCATATTTCAGCACCTAGGTGTCGCGTACCTATAAATTTTACATTTCTTATTAATGTATTACCTTGATCTGAAAAATGACATAGAAAACAAGAAGGTATCACATTTCAAAGTTATTCACTCTGAAATTCTCCAAAGATTCGTCTATTGAAAATGTTACACTTGAATTTATGAGTGAGTTAAAAGTGTGTCGAGTACAAATTTGAGATCATACGTCTCGGATTGATGTTACATGAACTTCAGAGCTGGTACAGGAAATGGAGGTTTGGCGAAGGGAAACGAGTTGATTTAGTTCTTATTGGCCCACCGGGTAGTGGTAAAGGAACACAAGTAAATCTACATCTTCAGTATATCATGTTATAGGCCATAAAAATTGCTGAGCGCTATAAAATTTGCCATCTTTCAACTGGTACGCAGTCACGCATTTAACGAACTTTTGCAGGTGACCTACTCAGAGCTATAATATCCTCAGGAACAGAACTTGGTATGAAGATCAAAGGAATAACAGAGTCTGGAGGACTTGTATCGGATGACATAGTGTGTGGCTTGATTGCTGAAAAGATCGACTCTCCAGAGTGTAGAAAAGGAATGCTTCTAGATGGATTTCCACGGACTTTAGAACAAGCCCAGAAAGTAGGTCTTTAGAATTTCTTGAGTGAATAGTAGCTTGAAAAATTACTTGGAGAGCGTCAAGTACGATTGCTGTCTGCTTTGGAATTCAAGGTTGATCCCAGTGTATTGGAAAAACGTATATGCGGTAGACTATTTCATCTAGCTAGCGGTAGATCATACCACGAATTGTATAATCCTCCGAAAGTTCCAAATATTGATGATGTAAGTTTATGTTTATTTTGTTTACTGCTGCTTTCTTAGGGTGGTTATAAGTTATTTGTTTAGTGGTAACTAAACTGCATTCACTATACATGATCCCTTAAGATATGTTACTTAGGACAGTTATTATGGTGTTTTTTGATAGGTAGGTGAACTAAAGATTTTCTGTAAGCATCAGTTTTACGTAATGGGTTTGTTTTCTCATAAGATTTCACGATGTTTCACTTCATAAGAGCTCTATATATTTAAATTCTAAATCAGTTATCCCTCTCATCTTCCGGAGTACTTGATTTTTGTATAGTTCTTCAGTTAGTAAAATGTTAACTATTTTTGAAACCTGTACACCAACCAGAATTTGAGGACGTAAATTGCTAATCAGGTTTATATGCTTCAAGATAGTCACGCAACCATTAGTGGGTATTTTAGAAGCTCAAGTGACCTGATCAAGTGTGTTTGTGTGACTTTGCTTACGCGTGCTGGAACTACAAAATGAAGACAAGAACAGTTGAAGTATCTTATGAAGTTGGATTTTGCCATCGACTAGAGTAGCTCAGACGTGTTGCAGACTAATATGCACTGTTTCTTACATTACCGTAATCCGGATTGTGACCGAACGAAAGAAATAGGAGTGATATCATCGATCTGTTCAAGAAGCATTCAACTACTGATAAAGTTGTAATCATGATCGTAGCGTCCCTTAAGACCTTAAGTATCGAAGGTTATCGAATTAGTGTGAAACCAGGTTGTTCTTACTGACAGTGGTATAGTACTAAACAACGTCCCCCAACTTCGTTATATGTTCACTTGTCTTCTTTGTGATTTCATCCTGGTCTGCTTCTTGTGTCTTCAAATTTGAAATGTTGCAATTTAAGCCAATTCCAGTTTAGGGAGCGTTCCAGCCGTGCTTGACGAGCAGCATTCCTACTCATGCTTAGTGTAAAAAACATTAATCTCACATACGTATCATTCCTTTGATTGGGAATTCATGATACCTCATTATACAGATTGTATTCAAAAGTGATCAGATCGCATTGTAATTGTAACACCAGTGCTATTATTTGCAATCCATGAGCCTATCTATTGATGCCGTGTAGGTGTTACCTATATTGTAACGTTATGGAAGCAAAGGCCTTACACTTGTCTGAATTATTACAACAGTCTCCATCGTAGCTGGCCTTTTGAGACCTTTGGTTGTATGTCTTATATTTAGGTGAGGTAGTCACTTATATAGTCACAACATTGACTTTGGTCATTAAAATATGAAGGATTTATCAGTAACAATTTTTCAACTGCAAAATCTGGCTGGGATAGTAAAAATTCAATAGAACAAGTGAGTGTTGTCCGGAATAAGATTGTTTTTGAGTAGTACCAGCATGCCACTAATTGACTTTAGATTTTGTGCTGTGATGTGTTCATTCAGTGGTTGTTCATTTTCTATTTTTTCTGTGGAGATGTAGCTTATCGGTTTAGTCAGTCGACTTTCAATGTGCTCCAGGATTAAGAAAATTTTGGTGTTATCATAGTGCATCAGAATCAACTCTTGCTTGCAGCCGGCACATAAACCCATACAAGAACCTTGCGTTATTCGTTTTCCTCTTTATTTGTCATTGATTGAGTGACCCTATGCTTAGAGTCACTGTTAGCTTAAGTGAACTAATCAGAACACATGAAAGGCACTCAATCTGTGGGCAGGAAAAAAACTACACTATCTTTTACGTTAACCCACAAAGCACGTATGTTAAAAGTCATTTAAACAAGATGCTTTTTTGCATAGTTCAGAACCAACATCAGAGGTCCTTAGGACGGTTCAAAAAAGGTTCTAATTTCAATACCGAGTACTTATTCACAAGGCTTTATGTGGCACACTACTTTTAAGAACACAGCTGGGAGTCATATCTGATAGACTGTCATTTTAAACTGAATATTGAAAAAAAAGAAATTTATCACCGATATATGCAACTGAATGCTTGTTAATTAATTGTCGCTCCTAAAATATTGATAGGCGCTATATATTTTGTACTTGGCATTTGAGAAATTAGTTTGACTAAGATCACAGTTGATTTTTCAAAAGATTTTTGTTTTTAAATTAGTCTTATCCTGGTAAATCTCTTGGATGTGAATAATTCTGTCTGATATTTAAGTGATGTGCAGAATAATTTTTAGGGCACTCCAACATAAATGAATCACTTTTTATTAAATGTACTGTTTCGTGTGCTAAGGTAGGAAGTTATCTCAGTTCAAGTAATGGATTTCGTGATCCATACAAACAACAGCTGGTGTTGCGTATTTTACTGATTATTGTACTCACTAAGAGTTAAAGTAATAAACCAGCAAGAAATTAAGAGTGAAAACTCACTTTAATTACTGGTTGAAACAGTTTTCCCTATCTTTTGTAGTTTTATCATGCAAAATATATTTATTTGCTATATGGTTTGCGATGTCTTTTGTAGATCACTGGTGATCGTCTTGTTCGTCGTCCTGATGATCGACCTGAGGCTTTAAAAAGGCGTCTCTTTGAATATGAGAAAAACTCAGCTCCCGTTCTAAGCTTCTACAGATCCAGAAATAAACTGATGCGAATAAATGCAAGTCAAGATGTTGAGAAAGTCTTTGAAGATATTCAGAAATGCATTAATGAGAGGATGTCTCATCCACGTTAAATGTATGGAGTATTATTGACAAATCATTGTTTACCAATTCAGTTTTGAATAAATTGAGTACCAATTGATGTTAAATCTTCCAGTGTGTTTAGCCTACCCTCTATAGGTAGATATTTATTAGGGCTGCGCGACCATTATTTTCATTTTTTTAAACCGTTATGTTTGTCATATGTATCACTTCCTCTTGCATCATGACTTCTTCTAACCAACACTAAAAATGTGTTGTTGTATCTGTCTAAAACACCTATATAGACTTCAGACATAAACTATTTTCTTAGCAAACAAACTTTTCAGTGTCTAATTGTTATTTGGATTCATATTACTTAGTAATGCGACGATCTCATTTTGCATCGTTCAGTTAATCAGGTTTTACTGCCCACTTCTCCTCTTCTCCATCATGTATTGTTAAGTAGCTTACTGGATTTCTATTTTATGATGTTTATTTATTATTCGGCTCTTTGTTTGTAAACACACTAAAAAGTAGTTGCTTGCATATTTTGTGAGCGATGGTGTGGAAGATAAGCTGAAAGTCCGTCCGAAGTGATGAGGTCAAAAGTTGAGAACGATACAGAAAGTTCGTAATTGTTGCTATTGTTATAATTGTAGTCGTTAGGTCCCTCGAAGCGTTAAAAATCTACTCTTTGTGACAAAAAACTAAATAATTCATACTGATTGTTTATCTTCAAGTCTTTGGACACCCAATTCTCATCTACTTATCGTCTTTTTTTTCGTACAATTGTATATGTTCATTTTGTGATCAGTCCGTTTGTGTGAGCTTTGAAGTACAACAGTTTTCATTAATGCATTTCTATGCAGGTTTCTACATTGATCTATTTGTTTTAATTTTGACTGTAAAAAGCAACTACCAAATAATCAACATTGGCTTCTGTTGTCATCTGTATGTTGAAATTTATTGTAGTTTTGAAGTTGTTTAATAGTTCACATAATAATACAACAATGCAATACTTTGACACAAGATAACATCACTTAATAATTAATATGTAGTCGGAGTTTTATTATTTTCAAGTTCATACTGTTTTCTGGTTGTCACCAATGCACTGGGAAATTGGGTTTAGGGTTGATGTCTTATAATGTGTTTTGACAAGATTCTACTGCTAATTCCCTTGATCTGATCATAGTTGCTACTGTTTCTTGTGTTTCTTTTTATGTCTTCATGATTTCGCTGTATGAGTTCCTGCAGTGTTTCGTTTTGCGTTATGAAGGTACCTAATTGTCGTTTTAGGTGAGTTTGCGCGGTTTCAACGCTGCTAGTTCATCGTAGTATCACAAATGGCTATGCATCAAGTATTCACATCACCTATACAAACGTTATTATTGCATATCTTTATTCTTTTTCTTTTAGTCCCTTTGAATTTAGCAAGACGAGTTGGTGTATGACTTCATCTTGATGGTTTCGATATTCATATGTATGCCCTTACATAGTAAATGTGACTCGTAGCCTTCTTAGTCCTAATAGCAAGTTCTACTCCTTATAGTATTTTTCTTCGTGGTTCTTTAGTTTGTGATTCTCTGATTTCAGTTGTGATAACTTCGTTCTAATCCATACAGAGTTTATTTTCATGTGCTTAGGAAAGGGAGGAGAGTAGTGCATGAATGGTGTACATACCTCCCATCTGAAAACTATTCACTAAAGTTATAGAATCAGCCTGCTGATGCAAAGAATACTGTTATTTGGCAACTGCATATGTCTTCTTCCAAAATTATGCTGGTTCTTTATCATTACTGCCACTGGCGTGTTAGTTATGCTTAGGAATGGGAATCAACCAATGGTGGATAATCGTAATCTAGCGATTAGTAGTAATTTTGTTTAGTTTATAAATTATCATGCCATGAATATTTTCTGTGCATCGCGTTGGCTTAGATCCTTCTTTCCTTCATATGCATCAACAGGTATTTAACTTACTGTCAATAAGAGGTTCTTTTTCCTTCACGTTCCCCAATGGAACATAGGGCTTCAAGCTAGCGACTTGAAGTTTCTGTGGCAGTGCTTATTTTTACGGGATGGGGTTGCTAGCCTCATCCCCAACCTTTCCTCTTTATCAGCATTATTTCTGACTCAGCGAGGTAAAGGAGTGCGTCGGTGGCCGGGGATCGAACCCCGGACCATGTGCATGGTCGGCGAGCGTCCTGACCGCTATACCACTGATGCTTAATAAGAGGTTAGTGGGATTAATTCGATGGGATAAAAAGAATTAGTTTTTGAAGAGTGATCTGGTCAAATGTACTACAGTCAACTGTTATAATATGACAGTCTTATTCTGTAAAAAGTGAATATATACATATCATAGGCACAGTAATATCTACTTGAATCGATTCGTCGAAAAGGAAATTTGTGTACATATATATAAATGACGCGTAAGTAGGCTCCAGAGTTGGTAGGCGTATTAGTCTACAAATTAGAATTAAAATATTGAAATCATTTCGTTGAATCAAAACTATTAGATTTGAGAACAGTGAATTGATTAGTCTTAATCGAGAAGAATTACTATGAATAAAAAGATATTACCAGATAAGTGATTATTTTCGTAAACTCCCTCTTTGTTTGATAAAGTCAGTGTTGTTTGGATGATAGTGTCACAGGGAGTGTATAGAAATGAACATGGAAGTTAAGTATTTTCAATCAAACGTTGATGAACTAATTGCCATTGAAGACGTGGTTTTCAGCTATTACTGACAATCTTTTTCAGAACGATGATAGGTTGTAGGCATCCGACTGATTAAAAATGGGTCAATTTCAAAGCATGTTTCTACCTTTTTATTCTGCAAATCTATACTTGAAGTAGTCTTCAGTTTAAGTCCATAGGTGTTTCCAAATCCTAGATTTCCTACAGTACTCGTGGCAAACGTGCTCCGGAAAAAAGATTAAATCCTTTTATCAATAGTAAATAATCGCGATAGCTTATTCACTTCGATCACTCTCCCTAATTTGAATGCTTTTAAGTATGTAGTTAATTACACAAATATATCAACATTTAAGCATACTGGTAAGAAGGTGTCGTCAGTGAAGATTAGCTAGAATAGAATTTTGAAGTACCCGTTTTTTTTGCTTTAGCCTCTTTTATACCTAACAGTTCCTAGCTATGGTATTCATAACTGGACAGAGAGAAAGATCGAACTCATTTTATGTGAAGTGCAAATCATAAGTCAGTATAAGTGTAAGAAAAAATACATTACCATGGAGCATAACTCTTATTTCTCGTAGTAATGCAAAGTCGACGAATAAGTATCGTGCTTTATGCAGAAGTGTATCTATTCATAGCGGTAGACTGAGATAAAATTGTGCTAAAATGAATAGATATTCATTTCCAAAGAGAAAGAAAGGCCAGATTTATCAAGGGAACCAAATGTACGAAATTTTTGAAAAGATATGCATTCGTTTGTAGGTTGACGTATTCACAACCACTGTTAAGTAAAGTGTAGTTAACAGAGCAGTTTTATAGGCTTAGGACTTCTTATTATACTCATTCCTGCGAGAATTGATTGTAGGAACCCTAAAATCCCAAAATATCGGCGAAGTGGACTCGTTACCCTGATATGTTGGCAATGTGAGTAGTAGTACTTGGGTTCCTAGAATCCCAAAGTGTGTGGTATTTGTTTTTCGGAAGATGGACTGTACAGTTTTTAGGAGTAGGCATCTAAACAAAACCAGTGGTTATATCCAACAGCAGTAGTTTTCTACGGTGTACGCAAAGAGTTGCTAATGTTGCCAGTGCTGTCTAGAATAAGTGAAGACTGTGTATGTAAAGCACCCTTGTTTAGAACACAACTTTAAGGACATCTTTATTTGTGTGACCGTTTCTCCTTACAAGTCTAAAATAATGTATTTCGGTTAATTATTAGTCTATTATTGATAGATTAGACTCGGTGATCCTTCCTTATTCTCGTTTTATCGACTGTCTGACAGTAACAAGCAGCGAAATCCACATAGCTATCTCTTGATACATCCAAATAGTTCATTGTAAATCGTATTCTCTTAATGACATCACTCATTATCTTTTTATTCTGCTCACCTAATTGTTCCTGTTCCAGTCACTTATCTACAACTGTCTGTTTTCGACATAGAACTTTGCACAAATGTGCACCAGTTCAAGTCGCCACACTCCGTGTAGCACGCGAAGCAAGAGAAGAAGGTACAAGAAAAGCACAATAGAGACAGTGAGCAGAGGTGTGAGACAAAGGAGTAATAACGAAGAACAAAACAGTTTCATTGGAGATCATAAGTCACAGGGAGTGGATGCATCTGCGCCACTGAGAACGATTTTGAGCCATGTCACCAATTGTTTCCAACCATAGATTTTTACCGTCCCGAGGACCCCAGCCTGGAAGTCTACACCTTCCTACGTGGCTTAGACCAACTGTTGTGGATTTCATTGACTGGTGCCAAGTTTTTGTTTGACCGCCGCTAGCTTTTTTCCAGCCTGACCCTATATCCGCTAACATTGCTCGTCGAGGGAGGCGATGACTTGGCATACGTAACACATGTCCTAACCATCTCAGTCTTTGTAACTTCACGACTTCGTCGATTGATTTCCCCTGTTTACCTAGAACTCGACGCCTAACCTCAATGTTGCTCACCTTATTATGCCACTTTACACGGGAAATAGAGCGCAGGCACCTATGATCAAAGACAGCTAGTCTTTTCATGTCTTCCACTCTCAGTGGCCAGGTCTCACAACCATAAAGGAGGACGGAGCGGACTGATGAGCAGTACACCCGCCCTTTGGTCGATAGTCGAACATCTCGTCTACGCCAGAGTCGGCGTAAACTGGCAAATGCGAAACGAGCCCCTTGTATTCGTGCTGAGATTTCGTCAGAGATCAACCCTTTGGGGCTGATGGTACTTCCCAAATAAGTGAAGCGGTCAACGTGCTCTACCACTTCACTTCCTATTTTTAAACTAGGCGTCGATGTAGTCCAGTCCTGTAACATCATCTTGCATTTGGCGGGAGCGAATCGCATGCCAAACATTCGTAGATTGC